ATTTATGCTTTGCAACATTGTTCGATCAGGGGCCATATCAGTCATGTGTTTGTATTGACCCAAAAAAGCTTGAGCTAAATCCCTCCAAGAACGTATTTGAGTACGTTTTAGCTGATTATACCATCTGGATGCAGACCCAGATAAACTGTCTTGGAAACAGTGGATCAACAATTTTTCATTCTCTACATAGCCAGTCATACGACGACAATACATAGTGATATGATATGAAGGGCATGTGGTCCCATTATACTTCTCAAAATCTGGAACCTTGAACTTTGGTGGAATAACCAGGCCAGGGACCAAACTTAGTTCTTTGGCGTCAAACCCATAAAATGTCTCAACTGTCTCTATAGATTTTATCACCTCTTCTATATTTTCCAGTCGTTGAGTGAATTTTTCCTTCTCAAATAATTTGTTTAGGTCAAGGACCTTATTACAAAATTCATCAGGCTTCAACTCAGAAGTAGTAGGACAATCAGTAGGGAATAATGCTCCAGCTTGATATGGTGCATTCTTAACAGCAAAGTAAATCGGTGATTGAATTTCCTGAGAATTAGCTTCGATTTGTGCCAACTTGCTCCTCAATTCCTCTTGTATTTCTTTCTGCTTTATCTCAAATTTGGCTAGCCTATCTTCAGTTTCTTTAGACATTTTTCTTGTGTCGTGCTGAGCGTTCTTGCTTCAAGGAAAAAACCAAGATCACTTCGTTTGAAATCCTTATTTTAATGAATGAATGTTTTAATGTATTATGACATAAAAAATGCAAAGATGCCAAATGCAAATGTAAATATGTGAATGTAATAATAAGAATACAAATTGTGCAATATAAATGCAAAGATGCCAAATGTAAATATGCAAATGTAAAAATGTAAATGTAAATTATTTAAAATACCATAATAGGACATCCAGTTATATTAAGACTGCCCTTTTCTTTGATATTGAAAATAAATAAACATTATTATTTAATTAAATATGTTTTAATGCATGATGTAAATTTAAAAATGTAAATGTAAATACAAACGTAAAAATGTACAAATGCAAAATACAAATGCATGTATGAAAAGGTGTTACTCAAGAGTGATCATCTTAGAACAGATTTCATTGAACGCAAAAGTTTTGGTACATCAAACAAAACTTTACATATAGGGATATATTTCATTCCTAACTTCTCCAAAGCCAAATTAGTCTATCAACTTAAGGGACATATTGCTTGTCTGGACTGCAACCTCTTCCATGACATTCTCTTTCATTTTCTGTGTCACTTCTCGGAGTTGCTCATTTTCCCTTGTAAGAGATCTTTTCTGTCCAAGAAGTTCTTGAACAAGATCTTCATATATGTTGCAGTTCTTTTTCAGCTTGGTGACCCCTGCTATCCATTCTTCTGGGGTACTTCCTAGGCCAGCATTTTGAAAGGTTTGACTGATCTTCTGAAAATCTTTATGCATGGTTTTCATTTCTGTGCTCAATTTTTTGTTTTGGTCGTTCAAGTCCTTCAAATAACATGCTTGAGCTTCATAAAAATCTCCACTACTCTGAATGTCCCGACTGATACTCTTACCATAGACTGCTTTTGGTATCAATCTGACAGAATCTTTATGGATTACTTTTGGTATTAATATAACCGGTTCTCTGTGTGCAGAACTTCCCTCGATCCTCATAGTTTCTTCAGGATGTCTTTCCTTGGTCGTATCATATTTTGTTTGATCATAAAACTTTTTGTCCATTTACAATTTCTTTCCAATATGATGAACAGTCTTTCAAGCCAACACCTTTTGGTTATGCCATGATCATGTAATGCAAACAAAAGAAATCAATATGAACATATTAGAGCAATGTAATATGCATGAAAAAAAAAATAGAATAGTTAGTACCAACTAAAAAAATCTATTTATCAATGTATAAATCTTAACCTCATGTTTTCTAGTTCCATGATTTGTTTGGAAAATTTAACTTAACCGCACGATTTCTAGTTCGCATGCATTTATTCAGGAAAAGGAAATAAAATAAATTAAAAGCTATAGCTTATTTCTCCTTTGTGTATACCTATTGACAAAATTTCGGCATGGTTTCAGATCGGGAGAGTTTCTAGGGTTTATTATATGCAGGTTTTTAGTTCTAGGAGTAAAGGTACTCGAAATGTCCTTGTTGATGCCCCATTGGGCTATCAAACCCTCAATCCTAGTCCATTACAGACTTAAACGGACCGAGTTCAATTCGAGGGGATACATTTCTCTATGACTAACACGGAGAATAAATTCTCACGAAGACATAGAGCATATGAACCCCGAAAGTTACTTGCTAGGTCTGACACGGAGAATAAATTCTCACGAAGACGTCGCTTTCACTCCTACTTAAAAGGGACAAACTCAATTATAGAGCTTTATGTTATGCAAGTGTTGTGTGTGTGAGGAGAAATATTCAAACCTCTAACAGATAAATAAAATAATTAATACATGAATAAAAAAAACAATATTAATATAAAAATAATAAATAATAAAAATTTGAAAGAAAAGAATTAAAAATTAAATAAATGAATTTTTAATTTCTAATTAATAGAGACAATTTATAATTGATTTTAAAGTTTGACATGAATCCCCAGCAGAGTCGCCAAGCTGTCGTAACCGGTTTTCGTCCGGGCACGATTAATTAAATTTGGCGGGGAAATTGATGTGAATAAATAATTTTGAAAATAATTTGTGAGTCGCCATCGGCCTTTTGGGTCAGGGAGGTCGAATACCTAAAAAAATATCTTTTGAAAGAGTTTTTAAGAAAACATCAATTAAAAGATAAACTGATCTGCGTTTTAACCAAAAATTCGTTCTTTTTAATAATAAAAAGGGATTCGTGGTCGGTTACGTTTAGGGAAGGATTAGCACCCCTACAACGCCCAAAATTGGTACTTTTTAATTATAAATTGTCTCTATTATTAAAATTTAAAAAATAAAAAAAAATATATATTTAATTTATAATTCTATTATTTCAAAATTATATAAAAAATATTTATTTATTTAAAAATATCAGAAAAGAACTTCTAGGTGCCTTAAGACAGCTCTTTTCTTTGATATTGATAAATATTAATTTAAATAATATTGTTTAAAAAATATCAGAATAGGACATCCAGTTGTATTAAGACTGCCCTTTTCTTTGATATTGAAAAATAAATAAATATTAAAATATGATAAAAATAATTTATGTAAAATATTTAAATTATTATTTATTATATATATATTTATATGACTATATAATAATAAATATAATATTTAAATATATAAACAAGTAAAATTAAAACAATAAAAATACAATTAGAACTATATATCTAAAAGCAGTAAAATAAATGAAAAATATTTGAAATTAGTGATTAAATTATAATAAAATTAAAATTAAAAACCTAATTCAATATTAATTATTTAAAATTATAGGGATTAAACATGTTATTTTCATTATTTATTAATTTAGTGACTAAAATAAAATTATAAAAAATCGAATATCAGATTAAAAATATAAACTCAGGATTAAAACATGATTTATTAAAACTAAAGGACTAAATACGTATTTATCCTAAATATATTATTTAATAGAAATGACAAAAATAAATAAAAGTAAAATTAAAGAACCAAATTAAAATGATTATAAATTGATTTAGTGACTAAAATGTAAAGATTACAAGTTAGGATGGCTGCGAAAAGGGTTTAACCTTTAGTTAATTACAAACAGATCCCTCCCCAAAATGGCGTCGTTTGGGGAGGGCTATTTAAGTCCCTTCATAGCTGGCCCGAAGGGCCAGCAGCTCATTCTTCTCATTTCTTCTTCTCTCTCACAAACGAGAGAAGAAGAAGCTCTCTCGGCTCTCTCTAGCTTCCCTCATCGGAGGGAAGCCGGTCATCGGGCGGCAACCGTCTGCCGCCGTGACCCCTGCCGCCGGCCACCGCCTCCGGTGGCCGGAAATTCTCAAATTTTCCCAAAATATAGATCTAAACGCCCTAAGACCAAATCTGGTTTTTGTTTTCCCTAAAAACCTTTAGGTTCTTGTAGATCTAAATTTTTTTACCTCCGAACTTTTGATTCCACGGTGGTTCGGCAGCTCTTCGATGGTGAGTTTCTTCTTCGTTTCTCTCATTCTGTCTTTCGTTTTCTTTGGATATGTTTGCTCTCGTCGTTACTGTGTTGTGTCTTGCTGGGTATATATTTTTTTTGTTCCGTTTTGTTGTCGATCTCCGGTTCTTCCTCCCTCTTTTTTCTGTTGCAGGTGTGGTCGATGGCTTTTATAGCTATCGACGGTGTGGCTCTCGGACCGGTCAAAGGAATGGAGTTCGGTGAGTCACCGAGCTATGTGGTGACTCACCATAGAGCTCGACATGTGGAGGGGCAATTGGCTTCTGGAGGCTTCTGGCGAGGCGGCGACTTCGTGGCGTGGCACTGGCAGCTGGAACGTCTGGAAGCAGCGGCGGCTGAATGATAACCTAGGGTTATGAAACCCTAGGGCTTCACGCTGGTATCCTGTGGACCGTTGGATCTTTCAGATCCAACGGTTGATAGAAGCGGCGGCTGGGTGTATGAGATTTTCAGAAAACCCTAAAAGGGTTATGGTTTCTCGGTCTGGGCCTGGGTTGGGCCGGATTTGGCCCGTTTGTAATAATAATTAATAATAATATTAGTAATAAATAATAATATTAGTAATTATAATTATAATAATAATTATAATAATAATAATAATAATATTTAAATGAAAAAATGAGTATCTTCATACATTGTATGTGTATGTAATGATTGAGGGTATTGTTCGGATTTATAAGTTAAGGAGTCAAAAGCATACCTGTAAATGGTTCAAAGGCTCTATATTCTTCTTAAAACGTCTCTATACGACCATTTTGTTCATGGCTGATGTTTATTACTGTCTTTTATCTTTCGCTGCTCTTTAAAGCAAATACATATTTAGTGATACATTGGATTGGAATCCGACGATGTCTCATCCCTCATTCTTCTCTTTTATAATATTCCAGACATTCAGCCAATTGTGTGCTTTTGATTATACATCTAAATCGGTGCAAATATTCAGATCCCCTTGGTGCATCAAAGATAAACCGAGGTTTGCATATCGTGGGCTTTTGCTCGGTAAGCCTCATTTGTATTTGCAGCTCAAAAAGTTACCGGTTTTACTTCTTTTACGCAACGACCTATAGAATAGAAGTTGATACCATTGTATATGCAATCTGTTACAGACACATCAAGGCACCTTTTTCCGGTTGATGTCATTAGGTCGATAATTGAATCAATGTCTTATGCTAAACTCGTAAGAAATGTTACCAGCCACTATTTTTTGTCAGTCTGATATTTCGCAGACGGAGTTCTTTCAAGTCCTTGCAAGATCATAATGGTGTCTTTATTTCTGTGGTTCTTTTACATGCAATTCAGTAGAATGTTCTTCATTGGCACATCATAGATGACCAGGCTTTTCCTCTCGAGGTACCTGCATACCCAAAACTGTGGAATGGTGCTTACTCAAAATGGGAGTGATATACTGTTGAGGATGTGAGTCAAATTGTCAGGTACGATACATATAACGTATAAACCCGAGATAATTTCTCTGCTATAAAACTTCTAAACATCTATTGATTTTCACGCTGTTTATATCCCTCTCCCAAAATTGAAAATCAATAGCAAAAGCTGTCGAAAGTTGACGTCCTCTGTCCTATGAACTTTAAACGGATTAAATTCAGTGTATTAATCAAAGAAAATATCTCAAGCTATATGTTTGAAAACTGCAAGAAGTTTTATTGATGTGTTGTCAGCTTGGATTAGAGTGGTTAAAAGACACCATGTTGTAAAGCACTAGCTCTAAAAGAAGCAAATGATAACAATAGATTTAGCCTTCTCGAGAAAATAGATACAAAGTAGAATTCTTTCCACGAATAAAATTATTGGCTCTATATATCTATGCTTCACTGTTTGTTGCTTCTTGTTGTTTCGGTTTCTCCTTTCCGAAGTTCTTTTTTCGGCATTCATGCTTCTTACGTAGACATGCCCTAATTGTGTTCATTCCCTTTCTTATTTTCATGTGCCGATGTGAAGATTTGCCAAAACGAGAGGTGAGATTGATCTTTCAAGTTATTAACAATTTAAACATAACATTTTATGCTGGCCTTTGAAGATACCTATGTTGGACATATACATGTATCCGACGCTTAAACCTAAATTTGAGTAACATAGACGTGACTTAAACCTAAATTTGAGTAACATTTTAGAGAGGCTCATCCAAAGATTTGTGTGGAGTGCGAATTCTGAGTCCAGGAAAATATCTTTAATCAATTGGGAGACGATGAAGCTCTCAATTGATGATAGATGATTGGGCTTTAAGGACTTGGAAAGACAAAACCATGCCTTCCTAATGAAGATTGGAATGCAACTTATAGATGGATTTGACAAGCTTTGGATAAATGTGCTTAAAGGTAAATATAGATGGAGTGAAGATTTGCCTGTTGATATCCTCCACCCTCATTGCTCTCGCCTGTGGAAGGGTTTATGTTGCATTTTGGAAAATGTAAGACACGACATAATTTGTAACATTCGGGATGTTGTGAAGACCGATTTTTGGAGGAATACTTGGCTTGAAGATACGGGGCCTCTCGTTGATCATTGCTTGCCGTCTGGAGCGCCGCAACCTTTGCTGGTGTGTTTGTTGATCACGGCGTCAGGAGAGTGGGATTGGTTCAAGTTGAGGTCGCTTGTTCTTGAGTGGGTCTGCAATCGAATAGTTTGTTGTTTATCCTCCGAGATTGACCCTTGGTAAAGATATTCCGGGTTGGGGACGGGAAGCAAATCGTACCTTTATGGTTTGATCCTCCTACCGTGCGCTGTCTTCACCGGGTCATAATCGGGCTGACTTACCGTGGAAACAGGTGTGGAAGCTTAATGTGCCACAGAGGACTAAATCATTCCTCTAGTTAACTTTCCATGGTAAATTGTTGACCAACATGGAGCGATACTGCCGACACATTGACACATCGGAGAGGTGCTCGGTGTGTCAGGATGAAGATGAATACGTTAGCCATGTCCTTCGTCGTTGTGTGTTTACTCGGAATATATGGTAATGGCTAATTGTTGAAGATAAGCTCCATCTTTTTCTCTCGATTCCTTATGAGGAGTGGTGTTTAATGAATATCAAAGACCAAGGTAACTTCTCCTTTATTCCCAACAATTGGAATACCCTGTATGCCATCGTTTGTTGGAAGCTTTAGAAGCGCCGATGTGATATGCTCTTTCAGCCCGATTTTATTGAAAAAGAGGACTTCCTCGTGCAGTGTTTCAAACTTAGAAATGAGATAATGGTATGTGGAGAGTGCAGTAAGCAAAGCAACGGTAATGTTCAGTCCGTCGGGGGATGGTCTCGACCTATGATGGGCTGGGTTAAGGCGAATACCGATGGAACCGTGGAGCATCAAGGATGGCATCGCCGCATCGGCTGGAGGAGTTTTGCGTGATGATCAAGGGGGTTGGATCATGGGATTTGGCCGTAGCTTAGATGTATGTACAGTTCTTTCGGTGGAATTATGGGCGATTCATGATGACTTGGTCCATACATGGAATCTCGGATTCAGGAAAGTTGAACAAGAAACTGATTGCGCTCAAGCTATGGAGATTATCCATAACAACCGGCAGGAGAATGACCATTGGGCAGCTGTTAGCATGATTCGATCCCTGCTGCAAAGGAGTTGGGAAACAAGTCTAAGCCATACTAAACGAGGAGCAAACTGTGCTGCAGACAAAATGACAGCTATAGCTAGGGGGACAAGCTCTTGGAGTAGTAGTTTTTCATGAACCACCGAGGGAGGTAGCTTTAGGGATGGCAATGGGTCGGGTTTTTGGGCCACCCGACCCGAGAAGAAAGGGTTTTTCACCCGTGACCCGACCCGACCCGACGAAATTAAGGTTTCACCCGACCCGACCCGAATATATGACTTAGAAACCCGACCCGACCCGACCCGACCCGAAATAATAATAAAAAAAATTTTATTCAATGAAAACAGTGACTTAATTGAAAAAAATTATATATGGAGGGACATTATTGTAATTATCCCTAAATATATAGGATAAAATTATATATATTTTTCGGGTCGGGTCGGGTCGGATTTTTTTCACCCTAAACCCGATCGGGTCGGGTCGGAACCCGTCAGATTCGGGTTGAGTTGCCATCCCTAGGTAGCTTTGCTGCTGGAAAAAGACTGCGTCGACTTCCTAATCTATTCCTTCTTATATATTGACCGACTAATTCAGATCGAGTACTAGAGAAGCGAGGACAACCCCACAACCCAATTTGCTTCATTCGCAAATGCTAGGATTCGAATCCCTGACATTTCTTAAGGGACCTAGTGTCTCATCCTACTAGGCCAACTATGAATTTAATCAACTATTATTTATATGTTGAATAGTAAAGTATTTTATCGCATAAAACATAAAAAAGGTCATTATAATAATATTGATTATTATTTAAAAAGGTTAATTATTAGTTGTAGTAAGGTAAACTATTCCTTTAAATAAGACGTAAAGTTTCAAACCGAACATTGTGAATTGAATGAACTGAGTTGAAAGGATCGTTTTCGTGATAAACTTCTATAGTATTCGATTTGAGAACATCGGTTCAGTCAATTGCTTAATAATAATAATATGGGTTGTGCTTAAATTTAAACTTGAAAAACTCCTCGAAAAAATTATGATACTCAAATTCGATTCACTCTCGAACTTGATAATGTTCGGACCGAATTCAAATAATTTTGAAGTGTACACGTGTCATCTAGGGAATTCAATGGGCCCAACCCATCGGTTAATAATTTAATGGGCCTAAATAAACCCAATTTTCTAGTTAAAATTCCAGTTTATAAGTTAATGGGCTTACTAAATTAGGCCCATACAAATCCAGCTTATTGTAGGAAAATTTTACTAAATTATAAAGCCACCATTTCCTTCTTCCAAAGAAAACCCTAAACACTCCAGCTGCCGCAGCTGAAAAGAAAAGGGTATGTTAATTTCTTTAAATTAAGCTGGTTCGTTGTCTTTTAACTCATCAATTTGGGTTTCTAAAGTTGATTCTAAGTCATTTTCATCTTTATTTTTTCTTCCCAGGTTGTTGAAGTAAGAATTTTAGCAATGTCTCCAGCCAAAGGTATGGCCTTTTTAGTTTTTAGATTTCAGATCTAATATTTTCTTCGCGTGATTGATTATGAAACGATCGTACTAGAATCTGGGTTTAACCCATTCTCCCTCGTTTTGGGGTTTAGGGTTAGTATTTTGCAGTAGTTTGGGTATGTGATACTGTTGAGAATGTTGATTCAGGGTGGTTGCTTTTACTGGATTATAGTGCAATTATTGTGTTTAATTCAGTTGTCTTGCTGTTTTTACCCATTAAAGTTATGCAGTAAAGGATAGTTTTCGGGTTTAACTTACCAGTTTGTAATCCGTTCTTCTTTCTCCGTGGTGGTTTAATTTGCTCGAAGGTTTAGGCGTGGTTGACCTGAATCAACATTTCCAATTATTAGCCGATATTGTCTACTGTAGCTTTCATTTATATCAGTTTAATCAGGTTGTCATTGATTTAACATAGCTTGTATGTAAACATCAAGTGTTCGAGCGATTGATTTGGATACTTGGATTGCGCTGTTATTAGTGAGGTGCGTTTTAGATTAATATTGTTTAAACCTTTGGCAGTTGACAACAGCAAGAAGAAGGCCGATCCAAAGGCTCAAGCGGTGAAGGCTGCTAAGGCTGTGAAATCTGGTGCGACATTTAAGAAGAAGGCTAAGAAGATCAGGACAAAGGTTACATTTCATCGGCCGAAGACCTTGAAAAAGGATAGGAACCCTAAATATCCTCGCATCAGTGCACCACCGAGGAATAAGTTGGATCACTATCAGATCCTCAAGTATCCTCTAACCACCGAGTCTGCAATGAAGAAAATTGAGGACAACAACACCTTGGTTTTCATTGTTGACATCCGTGCTGACAAGAAGAAGATTAAGGATGCTGTGAAGAAGATGTATGACATCCAGACGAAGAAAGTGAATACGTTGATCAGGTAAATTCATTTTGTTGGTCATGTATAAAAGATAAACATATCCTTAACTGCTTGATTGTATGATCATGTATAAAATCTTTAATTTCCAAGTTTTGATTGCTCATATTATTGCAATTAATTGATGCATTTAGAACTTGTCTTCATGGACCCTGGATGGAAATCTGATACATGAAGTTCAAACAGATGTTCGATTTATTCTTTTGATTTGTCCCTTGTAATCCAACTTCGCTACTCGGTTTTGTTTGTCATACATCCTCACTTGGTTGTAGAACTCATGGTTTAACCAATTCTCATGCCAAAGGTTTACTTAGTTGTTAAACTCGTATGGTCATTATGCAGGCCTGATGGAACTAAGAAGGCATATGTTAGGTTGACTCCAGATTATGATGCCTTGGATGTGGCGAACAAGATTGGAATTATCTAAAGCGGATTATGATGCTTTCAACATCTTTGCCCGAATGATAAACTATGTTAGGACTTATTCTCGCTTTATATGTACAAGGATCTATGTTTTTCCTACTTGAATTCTGCATGAGATTTGGATTAGGATTTGCGCACTTGATGTCCTGTATGAATGATTTTTACGTTTTAATCATCATCGTTTGCCTATCTTAGAGATTCTAATCAAGTATAAGTAGTAAGAAGCTTGAGTTTATTGTTGATGAAAAGAGAGATTACAATGTAGGATGAAAAGAACATCAATCGATAGGATGGTAAGACAGACAAGACTAGAAGGCACATAGTATTAACTACTCAAAGCCAACCAAACAATTCGCCTTCCTAGACTCGACTTTCATGGTTTCTGTCTTGCATATCTTTTATTTTTAATCCGGCAGTATACTCTTATGAATACTACTACCAGGATTATGATGTACATGAGGCCGGAAAGGAAGTAGGCGAGGATGTAGACATATTGAAACATGATATCGGCCGACTCTGTATTCGGGGATATGACCATAACTGCAGATACTAGGAGGCAAAACAGTAACATCGTTAGGGCAACGATGAGGGTGGACCAGAAGAAAACAGTAAGGTTACTGATAAGGACGAAACATGTTACGATGAAAGAGATGCAGAAGGCTCCAATGTTCGGAATGAAGAACCAGAGGAATTTTCTTGTACTCAGCACCGATGATCCTGCAGCGTATGAACCCTTTTCCAGAAATTTGTTCAATTTTCCGGTACTTGAGTTTTTTGAACCTGAGTGGATATCCATGGCGGGAGACGTGTTGTTTTGCGAGTTTGCCTGAAAAACACCGCCTGGAGGGCTTAAGGCTGCTTGGTAAGTGGCTGTTAAAATCAACACTGTCACTACTACCAAAGCATTGCTTCTTTCACTTGACATGTTCTTAGCTTCAGATGCTAATTGCCTGACCAAGTAAAAAATAAACAAGAACGGTGACTGAAAAATGTTTTTTCTCTGAGAACGTAGAATTCTCAGACATTCTTTGCTGTCCTGTTGATTCTCGGATTGTTCTAAGATTTCTGTCGCAGTTAATTTGTTCGAATTCTTCAATCTTATGTCGACCCCCCATCTTGTCAACAGACCGAGAATCTGCATTGGAAAACAAAGCAAAATACATCATACAAATTGCAGTAAAAAAAGAGTGGCTGATTGAGATTTTGGGTATACTTTCGGTTGATTTTTAGATGCTGCTATGTGTAAAACAGTGTCGCCATTTCTGTTCTTGAAATTGAGAAGTTTCTTAATCCGCCGCGTGCTGCATTCGCTGCTCAATAGGCTTCGCAGTAGAACTTGAAAAGCTTTTAACTTGTTTTCCCCCGCTGCTAGATGCAGGGCCGTGTCGTTCCGGTTTGTCACGTCGTGGATGCATTTAGGGCAATCGTTGAGAATCGTTGTCAAAAGAGTCAGATGATCGATGCTGTCTCCCATAGTAACAGCGAGATGGAACGGAGTGTAACCGTTATTCCCCTTGACACGAGCGAGATCTTTGTTGAACTCAAGCAGTGAGAATGCCGTCTCCGTATCCCCGTTCTTTAAAGCAAGGTGAAGGGGACTCCACCCGTCTTGGTTCAGCTTCATGGCTAACGATGGCTTCAACCCCAGCAACTCCATTGCAAACTCTGTTCGCCCCGACGCCGCCGCTACATGCAAGGGAGTATCATAGAACTCCCTTCCTTCAACCTCGTGCAGAAAATCCGGTTTCTCCCAAATAAGTTCATACAACACATCGATATCACCTATTCGAGCGGCCTCTCTGGCTCTCTCTTCCATCGAAGCTGGATCAATTACGATGCTAAAACTCTTTGCCATTGGAGTGAATTTAGCTCAAACCTTGAAGTGAATTTAGCTCCACTTGAAGTGAATTGTTTACTTCATATAAGAATCACCATTGCATGTATCACGTTCGAATGTCCTTATCTTCGTTTTCAATCAAGAGATCCTCATAAAGTTGCAGCAGTGCCACACTTTTCGTGTAAAACGTTGGGGAGGTTTGGTTTAGTTTCAATCTATGTTGCCCTGATACGAATACGGGGATAGACTTGGGATATCTCTGGCGTACTCAACTAATTCTAACCGTAACCTTTTAATATGAGACATCTCCGGTACATACTCAAATTGTGTCCGTCCGTACGTATCTCAAACACGTATTAAATACTTGAAAAGACATTAGCCGTACCCGTGCAACAGAGGTTTCAGTTCATCTTCTTTCATTGTCCTTCTCCCACACATTCCCCTCCCACAATTTACCTTGTTTGCCAACCATAACTTTCGCCTTTTCGCTTTATTCAATGGGAAGATTTAAAGATAAAATACGCAAAGAATTTGATTTCTGATGGTCCCCAATTGGTCTCAATAGTCGTATGCTTTGTTGATAGAATATCTGGACTTTAATTTCAGAGATTGACGATCAAATCTGATAATGAAAAAGAACTGAATTATTTTTGTGAAATTTATTATCAAATTCGTGTAATTTGGTTAATATTGCAGTATTATGTTTTTGATATAAATTGTACCATCTACGAAAGTTACAAGCAATTCAAAGGGATGACAAATAAAAACAAAGAGCAAAGACTTGCTTGCATAGTTACATACATTTCCGGGGCCTGAGTGAAATTTAAAAATAGGTCCTTATAGAACGAAAGTATATTCTATTATTTTGAACAGTTAATTTAATATTACATTAATAAATCGTAGAAAATGATTAAATTAGGGGCCATGATTATAAAAGTAAAAAGTGAGGTGAAAAATTAGGGGCCTCAATTATAAAGATAGAAAGTGAGATTGAAAAAAAATTAGAGACATCAATTATAAAGGTAAAAAGAGAGATTGAAAAAATTAGGGATCTCGATTATAAAGGTAAAAATTGGGATTGTAAAAATTGGGATTGAAAAAATTAGGGTTCTCAATTATAATGGTAAAAAGTAATGATTCTTCTTGATTGGGTTCCTCGATCCTCGAGGCTTCGCCACTATAAACAAAATTCCCTCCATTCGAGGCTTGAATTATGTTCTTTCTTTGCTTTCTTCTTTTCTTTGAAAGATATGTAAAAAATACATATTAATGTATGAAATGTGAATTCAATTGTAATGCATGAGGTCTTGTATGCAGAGATGTTGATAATCAATCTTCTTCTAGCTTCAATGTGGAGAACTCGATCTTCCTTCACTTGAATGGATACTGTCCCAATATCAGTGTGACAACTTGTTAGCTCACACTTTTCATCCTCTGAAGGTAAATTTAATCATCTTGTGTCATCATGTCTTTCATGTCTTCTATCTCCTGGTTTCATCATTAGATCCTTAGAAGGAACGTTCTCTTTTGAATTTTTCTCTAGTCAGGCATAAGTTCTTGACACCCTTTTTGTCCCTGATGCAATTGCTCAATCAGAATTGTTTCTTATGACCCCCTCCAAGGTAAGCTTTCCTTATCTTCATATCCTACCCCAGACTCTCTAAGTGGTGAAGCTCATTTCAATGTCTTCTTGATCGATTCTTAGCTTCTAAGCCTGAGCGACCATTGCCAAAGATCTATTCCCTAGAGAGAATATATTGTTTGAAAATATTTTTCTTCCTTTTTCATTTTCCAAAATGTGAAAAAGTTTGGTGAAGAAGTTTTGAAAAAATAATGCCACTTATTTCGGGCTCAGAATTGAAGCGAATTTTAAAACAAGAGTTAATTGAATATTAAATAAGTCAAACATTCTTTTTAATCCATCAAAAATTATAACTCTTTGACAAGTTTCAATATTAATGCTATTTTTTTAGGCTGATGTTGATTTGGGAAGGTAGAGTGTTTCAAGTTGGCTTCTTTGGTTAAGGTATAACATTCTTGATTCTGGTGTTCATTGATCTCATGAAATAGTCACTACACTCATCTTCTGGAAATGCTCTGGTGCCCAACTCTTGTAAGTATCTTCAAGTAGTATGCCACTTTATCAAGGGATGCATAACCCCTATTATTATGCAATAGCTGCGCAATCTCCATATTCAAGCCACATTTGTAAGTTTTCAACTCAAATCCTCCTTTGGTTTCAAAACCTTATCTGAAATTTATGTCTTGAACCCCCTTTATTATTTTTTTCCATGTCATGCATTAAATATTTAAAAAAATCATTTTTCCAAATAAAAAATTAAACCTGAGAAGCGGAATGAAATATGAAGATAGTCTCTTTCACTTAGAAATCCATGTATGATTAGAAGAGACTTTACAGGCACTTAACGTAGGCCAGGGCTCACAGTTATGAAAGAAATGGATAAATAGACCCAAAGAAGAGTTTATAGGTGATCGAACCAACAATCAATTCATTCTGATGTCTTCAATCTTGTCTTGCTTAATTTGAATCTGCTTATATTGTCTTTTATTTTCTTTCCTTTTGGATCCCTCTAGACTTCCTATTTTTGGGTTTTCACCCTAGAGTTCATCTCCATTTTTTATGCCTTCGGTATTTCTCGATCTTCTTATTGAATCTGGATCTTTGAACTAGTTGTACTTGATCAACCTTGTGGTTTGAGGATCATTGAGTCATTTTATTTGGTGTGACTCTTTGCTTGTACTTTTTGTTCTCATTTTTGTTGATTCTTGAACTTCACTTTGATTTGAATATATTGTTTGTTCTCTTTATTTGGAGAATTCTTCGTTTCCATTTGAATGTCCTTTCTTTCTTGTAATTGGAATATCTTTTATTTCTTTCGACTTGATTTGCTCCTCGAGCACTTGGTATTTGATCCACCTTGTGGTACCTTGTTATTTTTCTTTATTTCATGGAAACTTGTCTTTGTAATAAAATCTGGATTGACGATCTTCACTCATACGAGCATATTTTCTTCAACTTACCTCAATATGGAGGGTGATCCTTGGTTAGGGTTGAATTAGAAGAAAAATATTATATGCTTAAGTGGGGACAACAAGGGATATATTTTCTCCTTTTATGAATGGATAATAAAAGAATGTCATTCATCATTTCATACACGAAAGTCATTGTAAAAGAGGTTTCCCTAGGGGTATAGATATCTAGGATTAAATTTTATTAAAATGAAAATAATGTAATTAATGCATGATAGGATTATTTGAATTATTCCCTTTATTTATTCTTCTTCTTCTCGCTCCTAGTATGCCTCGATTATTCAGACTTATCTTCAAATAGTTGATCTAGGATACTCTATCTTGTTTTCCTTGCAAGAAGATTCGCGCATGGACGGATGTCTTATACTCAATGTCTCTAGGGTTTTATTGAGGTTGAAAAATGTTGGTTTTGCGTCTTAGGAGATGAGGGTTTTCTTGTAAGTTGTATCTTTGGAGAAAAGTAGTGTTATGAAAAGATCGGTTCTACCAGAGAAGGTAAAAGTATAAATTTGGTGTCTCGAAAAAAGGTAAGGGTCTGACTTTGGTAGCGACAATAAATTAGTTTGGGTAAAGAATCAAGTGATGATAATTTTGGCTTTGAACAAGATACATGAGGTTTAATCTTGCCACATACCAAAGATCTATATTATTGAAGAATTAAAAGAATCTTTAACTTATTCGATATTTAAAGAACTACAAGATTAAAACTTGTTTTATTTCTCATAACCTTAGAAAGTGACATATGTCATCAAACATTTTTACAAATATTTAACTGAATAGAAAAGAAAAGGAAAAAACAAGTTCAAACAGGAGCAAATGCATTTTCATGAAAAAACAGCAAAGCTTCATGGGAGGCAATAACTTATTCTTGGTTCATCTCAAAATGCCCCCATTATTTGTCAATGGTTTATGCCCTTGAATTTATTAAATTTTGGGCCTTGCGCTTTAGTGCCACACAATTCTTTGTAGTGTGAATGAGATTGCGAGATTAGAACCAATGCATGTAAAAAAATGCAAGGATGTGAATGCCGATGGAAAATGCAAATGAAAATGCAAATGAAAATGCAAATGGTGTCGATCCCAACGATGAATATCATAGAAAAAGTTTCATTGGAGATCAAAGTCTTCACTTTTACAAAGTAGTCCATTTTACATACATGCCTTTGCTTGAGCGCTTGGTCTAAAGTACGCCGATGCTTCATCCTAGTGCTTCGTCGTTAAAGACTCAACCTATCAAGTGCTCCACGATCCTTTGAGCTTGTGTAGAGTCTTTCTTAAAAGTATGGCTCATCTTAGATGATGTCCCTTTGATACCCTTCAATCTTGGATGCCATGCCATCGATCAACTCTGATGTCTAATTCTTCGAGTGAGCTTCCTCCTTGTTTTCTTTTAGCTTCTCCTAGCCATCGATGCATGTTCATGTATGCGACTACTTGATTGAAAACTTTTTTCTCCCTTTGAAACATTTTCACTTGGATATTCAATTGTGGATCAACATCTTTGTATTGTGACATGATGATGCGATACAAAAAAAAAACATAAAAATAAGAAATAAGTTAGTACATGTAAGATAATCGATAAAGATAAACGAACTATTCAGAAGAGAATATAACTCCTACCCATCATGGTATCTACTCAACATGCTTTTATTAGATAGCGATCCTAACCGGACATGCTTTCTACCCGACATACTTTATTTCAAGAAATTAATCCTAACCGTATGGTATCTAGCTCACATGCTTTCATTCGGAAAGAAATTTATTCTAAGAATTTAAAGCAAAGGGAAAAGGTTTGGAGTCGTTCCTCCTCTGTGTACACCTATTTCGATTCCTATTGATCGACAGAGTTCGATATGGCTCTATGGTTCACTATATGCATGCTTTTGGCTCTAAGGGAAAGGGTACTATAATTGTCCTTGATGTTGGTGCCCCCTTGGGCTTCCAAGCCCTCGATCCTCACCCATTACAGGCTTTGAATGGAACGAGTTCAATTCAGGGGGATCCACTTCCCTATACCAATACGAGGAAGTAAATTCCCACGAAGGTATAAGGTCTGTATCCTAGAGGTTAATTGCTATAGCTCATACGAGGAATAAATTCACCACGAAAGCATAGCGTTCACCCCTACTTAATCGGGACGGAGCTTGGGTGTAGAGCTTATGTCATGAGATGCAAGTGGAGTGTGTGAGGATAAGCATACTAACATTTCACAAAGACAAAACAAAGATAAAAACACTTCGAAAAGGAGAAATTCAATAAAACTGCAAACATGAATTAAACATAAGTACAACTATTTACATAAAGAAGTGAATAATAAATTAACCAATGTTCAAAGGATCATAAGCTAATTTTAAACTCGAACATACACTTTCCACTATTATAACAATTTATAAGCGACTAATGACTTTACTCTCTAATTTCTCCTCAGCAGAGTCGCAAAGCTGCCAACACCATTTTTTTCACCAAAATAAAAACTAGTTCGACATTTTTTGAAACAAGGATGGGAGTAAAAAACAAGTATTCTGATTCCCGTTTTTAATTTCCAGAGAACTTCAAAGTGTCCTATTCATTTTGTTTGGGGTTTTTATATTAACCCTTTTTCTTACAGATTGAAAAAGGAAAAAAAGAGGACAAATTACAATTGATTTTTGTTTGTATTCTCTTGTTTGTTGATGACGCTTTGACGTGGAGGAGTTCGGGGCTTGCTAGAGGCACTGTTGCTGCTGTCGTGGAGGGGAAGGTGTGCAGGTGATCGGCGGGTCAGACGGATAATGTGCATCAGCCGGGACATTCATAGTAATTTTACTTTATATGTTAAATTGAAGAATAATGGATATTAGATAATGGTTTAGTGACTAAAATATAACAAATAAAAAATTTGAAAATTTTAGTAATAAGGTGAAGGTTAGGTGCTATTATACTTATACATCACTATGCTTAATGATAAAGATATTCATTGCTATTAATACTATAGGGTACATTGGCATACTACAGGCGTATACATTATAAACCAGAGGTGCGCTGCTTCATGCAGAATCTACATAGATGAAAGAATAGCCACCATCCTATTAACACTATAGGGTACATGATGATGTTTATGGGGTTCTGATCATCATCATGACCATGTGCATCAACGATAGCATAAACTGTAAATAATAAACTATAGCCTACAACTAGAATGGTTCCTTTCCAGAATTCATCATACAGAAAGTGGAGTAACAGGACTTGGATTACATCTCCACCCGAAAAGTAAAACGGTAGCATCCAACAACCGACGATCGAAACGCTGAATTTCGATACTTGATACGTGATACACATGAACACCATTAACATGAAAACAATGGTTGAGAAGATATGGACTGCTAATGCTAAAGAGGTTGGGGTTATGAAAGAGATCGACTGGTCGAAACACACCGCTAGGAAAGCGAGTAGTACTTGAATCGCCGTCCTGAAACCGCTCGGGAAAGGTTTAAGCATTGCTAGTGTTAGGAAAAAGGTTACGATGAACACGATATAGGTTGGAATGAAGAAAAGAAGGAACTCGGATGGATCCATGACCGATCTCCCTAATTTCTTTGAGCTGTTTCCACATTGCCAAACACCACCAGGCGGGCTAAGACTGGCTTGGTAGGTTCCAGCTAGAAGCAATCCTAGGATTACTAGTAAGGCACTGCGGTCCTCGCCCGATATATTATCTATATCGTGAAAAATTAACGATGATGCTTTTGTCACATGCTTGACAATTTGTTTCTCCAACTTATATTTGATGTTTGAAACTAGTGGAATCAAACAGCCAAGCAGAATAGTAATGCATCCTTTGTTATTATGTTGTTGTGCAACATCCAGCGCGGTTAAACCAGCTTGATTGGTGGCATGCTTATCAGCCATGCAGTTTAATAGTAATTGAAGCATCTGTTTGAGATTTAAAGGTTAGAATCATTTAATCATGTGTATGAAGTACGAAAGAATCTACTCCCTGCAATACCTGTGGCTGGTTTTTGCTGGCAGCTAAGTGCAACGCGGTGTTGCCGTCTTCGTCCTTCCAGTTCACCACTTCTCGACGATAATCTTTCTTCATAAGCATTCCGGTTAGTATTCGGAGAACGTCGTGTCTTTCATTTTCGACCGCAATATGCAAAGCGGTTCGATTTTGAGTCGTAACATCCAGGATACTCTCAGGGCAAGCCTCTAGAAATCTATCCAGCAAGCCATCATGGTCACCGTCTTTACTAATGTAGTGCAGAGGAGTCTCACCGTTCTTCCCCTTGACGCGAGTGAGATCGGTATCGATTTCCAAGAGACGTAGCGCCATCTCTTTATGCCCTTTCTCGACGGCAAGGTGGAGGGGGCTCAAACCTTGTTGGTTTAGCTTCCTAGCGAATGATGGCTTTAAGTTGAACATCTCCATTGCAAACCGCATGCACCCTTCTGATGCAGCTATATGTAACGGAGTGTCGATAAACTCGACCTCGTCCAAGCGTCTCAAAACATTCCCATTTCTCTGAATTAATGTATACAAATCACTAACGTTTCCTTTACGAGCAGCGTTTCTCAAACTTTCGTCCATGTCAGCCGGTAGGAGCAATTGACAAAGATTAAAAACTTTGTTGTGAATGAATGCTGTATATTTCAAGGTTAATAGGAAGATATTTATTCCATTGAAATCGTTATTAGTTTTTGAATTAAAGGCGTTGATATGTCATATGTTCATAGTCAAAAGTTCATGAACATAGTGTAGACAAGGGAGCCGTCAAAAGTTTTTCTTTTACGAAAGTGGAGAATTTACCTAATCAAACATTAGAGTCATGATTATAAAAATAATTAGATTTACTTAAGTCGTAATTTTTAATTTTTTTAATGCTGTTAGACTGTGCTAGTAATTTACTAGAAAGGGCATATACTAAAACCTCATACATATTTTCTATTCTACCGTTACACAACAATTACTTTGTTTGGTGTACAAAAATATCCGATCCGAATAACCCGACCTATTTATTCGATGATTCGATCCGAAATTTTTGACATCCAATCTGATTTGTTCGGATAATTCGGATTGAATATTCAAAAAAGTTAAATAATCGGATTGGATACGGATCAAAAAATTCTCAATTTTGGATTATAATGTACTTTTGTCCTAGGTCCAATAGCCCAATCTTTATGGGTTCAACATTGGTATGGATATTGGATAGAGCGCTAAAGCTTCTGACCGCCGTGAGGCACACCGCCATCACCAAATTGCTCGCCGTCCCATTCTGACCAAAACCCGACCATCCCCTTGTCGAGACTCGTCGTTGATTGCCGTGGAGAGCTCGTTGAAGATCACCAGAGAACCCACCACCCCGTCACTATTTTGGATGATTTCGGCTGTGCCACGATCTCCCTTTTGCCTCACCGCCACCATCAATGGCTTCGTCTCCTCCTCGAGATCAAAGCCCTACCAACGATACACCTTCACTCGCCATCAAACGTCGTATATAAGTCTTCGAAAGCTTCACCGAGAAACCCAAGAAACTCCCTCAGTTTTACGTTATTTTGGATCGATCCCGGTGATTGTGAGCTGTACGACCACCACCACTAGACTCCTCAGTGCCTCGCGGTCAAATCCCAACCGACGGTGTTTCCTCACTATCGTTCGTTCTCCGATCGTCGTTGGGTAAGCTTTGAATCACCTTTTTGGTTATTTTCATCGTGTTTTGACTGGATTTTTGGTGATGTTTTAAGTTGTTTACAGTGAGGAAATGTATTAGGAGTGATCGATTGCTTCCTCGACCGATTCGATCGTCGCACGTGCCCCAAGCACCGCTCCTACGTGTGGGGGTTGTTTTCCAGCTAAAGGAGTTTCTAGAATGGCTCGAGCCGAGCCGTTTAACCCAAGCCACCCGAGCCGTCCAGTTGAGCTAAGCTAATGAGCCATCCAGTTGAGCTGAGCCGCGAGTCGAACTGATTATTAATCGTTGACCTGACTAGTGTTGACTTTGACCAAAAGTTAAATTTTTCGAAAAATCATATTTTATATTTTTCGATGTTCTGAGTCCAATTGTGCGGTTTGTTTCACCAAATTCAAATCTAGTAAGCTATATTTCGGCATTTTATCTTCTGATTCGATTCAATTTTTGCGTCTAAACTCTGTTTATGATGTAATTTGTTTTGCTATGTATCTGAGACATTATGAGACATGAAATTAAAGTACGAGAGCGATCAAATGGAGTTAAAATGATCGATCAATATGACTCAAAATCGAGATAATACTCTACTATCCTATGCACATTTTACAGTATAAATTAGTAAATGACTGATGCATGATTTAAAATGTTTAGTCAAGTAAATCCCGACGAATATTCTTAAATTTGCACTGAATATGGTAAAAAGGATATTAAATTGGTTAAGACTCAAACTGAATACGATATAAAGTTGGTTTACTTAATAAGACTCGGTTGACTTGCATAAGGAATTGGAAGACCGACAGGAAATAATTTCAGGATCAACAATTGACATCAGTATCCGTAAATTTCAATTATTTTCTTTAAAGGTTAGTGCTGAGAGTACTTGGATAAGAAATTACGAAAAATACCCCTATGAGTTAAAATTACAAAAATACTTTTGTGCCGTAAAAGAGTCCATTATTACCCCTGAAAATGAAAAATGATCTAAAAAGACCTTTTTGATCTGATTAAACTACCGATGCACTTGTTAAATGTTTGTTTTATTTAGAAAACTTCCAATATCTGATTTTAACCTTCGAGATGGCAACAAACATAAAATTCTGTTTTCTGAATAAATATTTGAAGACTAAGTTGCTGAACATACGACACACCACTGAAGTATTTGAAATGACTAGATTATCTTTGTGTAACACCCTTAACCCGTATAAAAAAATATGATTCTCACTAAAATATCTATTTTAATCCAAACTATTCATTTACAAACTAAAACATATAACTTTTAAAAATTACAAATTTTAGTCCCTATACTTTTCAAACTTTATACTTTAGCCCCTAAACTTTCAAAAGTTACATTTTAGTCACTGGGCCAAATTTAGGGTATTACAATTCCTTCCCCTTAAATAAAATTCGTCCTCGAATTTTCCATATGTATATATATACCTGCATTAAACAGATGAGGAAACTTTTTCTTCATATCTTCTTCTCGTTCCCAAGTTGATTCCTCAACTTTATGATTTCGCCAAATAACTTTTACCAGTAGAATTGTCTTATTTCTCAGTTCTTTGACTCCATGTGCTAGAATATTTATTGGCTCCTCTTCGAATGATAAGTCAGGTTGAATCTCAATTTGCTCCGGTGAAATCACATGTGAAGGATCTGATCGATATCTTCGAAGCATCGATACATAAAATACATTATGAATCTTATCCATCTCTGGAGGTAACGCCAACTAATATGCTACTGGTCCAACTCTCTTTACAAGCCCATATGGTCCAATAAATCTTATACTCAATTTTCCTTTTCTTCCAAATCTCAGAATCTTTTTCCAAGGTTACACTTTAAGAAATACCTTATCACCTACTTGATATTCAATCTCTTTTCTTTTTAAATCAGCATAAGATTTCTGTCTATTGGCTGCTATCTTGAGATTATCTTGGATTACCTTCACTTTGTCTTCCACCTCCTTAATAAGATTTGGACCAATTACATCTCGATCTTTTAATTCATACTAATTTAGTGGCGTTCGACATTTTCTTCCATATAATGCTTCAAAAGGAGCCATTTTGATACTCGATTGATAATTGTTGTTTTAAGCAAACTCTGCTAAAGGCAAATACTTTTCCTATGATCATTTGAAATCAATAACACACGCCCTTAGCATGTCTTCAAGTATCTGAATAGTTCACTCAGACTGACCATCTGTCTGAGGATGATAAGTTATGCTGAAATTTAATCGAGTTCCCAATGCCTCATGCAAAGACTTCCAAAATCTCGAAGTGAATCTCAGATCTATGTCTGAAACTATCGAATTGGGTACTCCATGAAGTCATACTATTTCTCTGATATATAACTCATCATACTTGTTCATAGAATAATCATCTCGAACTGGGATAAAGTGTATTGTCTTTGTCAATCTATCCACTATCACCCATATCGAATCTTTCCTACTGGGTGTAAAAGGTAAACCTGTTACAAAATCCATGGTAACTCGTTCCCATTTCCATTGAGGAATAAAGATAGGTTGCAATAACCCTGAAGGCACTTGGTGTTCTGCTTTTACCTGCTGGCAGGTTAGACATTTAGAAATAAACTCAGTGATAGCTCTTTTCATACATGCCCACCAATACTGACTCTTTAAATCTTGATACATTTTATTTCCTCCTGGATGCATAGTTAAAGGACTATAATGAGCTTCAGAAATAATATATTTCTTCAGTTCTTCGTCATCTGGTATGCAAATTCGATTGCGATAATACAAACATCCATCAGACTTAATTTCAAAATCTGTCATTTCTCATTTTTGTTGCTCCATTCTATCTAAACACTTCTTATCTTTATTCTGAAGATCCTTGATTCGATCTACTAGGGCAGGTCTCAATCTCAATTCTGCAACCAATGCATCATTTTCGTTTATTGATAGTCGTGCATCTAATGCTCTCATAGCAGCAAAGGTTTTTCGGCTAAGTGCGTCAGCTACCACATTAGCCTTCCCATGATGATAATCAATAATCACATCATATTATTTGAGAAGTTCAATCCATCTCCTTTGCCTTAGATTTAACTCTTTCTAAGTGAGCAAATATTTTAAAATCTTATGATCTGTATAAATGTAACATCGCTCACCATATAAATAGTGGCGCCATATCTTCAGAGCAAACACTACAACTGCTAGCTCCAAATCATGTGTCGGATAATTCCATTTGTGTTCCTTTAACTGCCTTGAAGCATAGACTACCACTTTACCTTCTTGCATTAGAACACATCCCAAACCATTATGGGACGCATGACTGTAGATTACATAATCTTTTCCTGACTCTGGTTGCACTAACACTGGGGCCTCTGTCAGAATCTTTTTAAGCATATCAAATCTTTCTTGACACTTTTCGGTCCAGACAAATGGTACATCCTTTCGAAGTAACTTGGTAAGTAGAGATGCAATTATTGAAAAATTCTTCACAAATCTATGATAATATCCAGCTAATCCCAAGAAACTTTGAACTTCTGAAACATTTTATGGAGGTTTCCACTCCACTATCGCTCGCACCTTCTTGGGATCTACTCTAATTCCTTTTGCTGAAATCACGTATCCCAGAAAGGTGACCTCTGACAGCCAAAATTCACATTTTGACAATTTAACATATAACTTTCTATCTCGCAACATATGTAGGACGATACGAAGATGTGCTTCATGCTCATCATTAGTCTTAGAATACACCAAAATATCATCAATGAACACAACCACAAATTGATCCAAATATGACTGAAATACTCGATTCATCAAATCCATAAATGCTACTGGAGCATTGGTCAGTCCAAATGGCATCACAACAAACTCATAATGACCATATCGGTTTCTGAAAGCCGTCTTTGGAATATCTTCCTCCTTTATCTTTAGTTGATGATA